CTATTAAGGGGTGAGCGAAACCACAGCTCAGTAGGAACATAAACAACATTTCCATGGTAAATTGATATAACTAAATTTAGTGACATGCAATCATGCAGTTAGATATCATACCAATAATAATACTAATGCATGTATGTTATTCATCTATTCACGTTAATTAATATAACTGGACAAACAGATATGCACGTCCCATATCATGCTTATACCACTTGATCCCGAATGCCCATTTATATCAACTAACACCTATCCCAATCATCCCACAATTCCCCTTTTATTAGTCATCTTGTCTAACTCCTTGTCTCCAGCCTCGCATCACCCAATAATAACCATGTGCACCATGGGATCCCTGAGATCTAGTACATACCAAGAGTTAGACTCAACTATACAAAAGATCATATTACTCTCTTTTCCATTATTATTTTCTCAACTTAAAACCTCAAACCTATTTCCATGACATGATATAATTCTTCTTTTCACATATCTCATATATCTAAAAACAATGTAATCATTTAAATATTACCAATGTACATATAATCATGCCAACATTAATAAAATAATTGACAATTTATAACCATTCAAGAGAAACTATTTAATTGTAACAATAACATTGATCAAATAATAATTTCATGCATATTTCCACACGAGGAATATTCATCAATTCATAACCATTTAAGGATTATTCTTCAAACCCTAGGCTATGAGGAGCACTATAAATGCATGGCTACATAAGGCATTTGAGGTAATTCCGAAACTCTACACAAACTCATGTCTCTTTCTCTCTCATACTGTCTCCTTCTCCCTCTCACTCTCTCTCACACGGCTTCGGCCACCCAGCTCCCCTCGTGAGAGAAAACTCTGACCACTTTAGCTGTTGTCGTATCTTTTTCAAGATCCAATCGAACTAACTTAGGCATCGAAGGGGGAAGAAAGAGAATCAAGTTTGAGGAAAGAGAACGAAGTTTAAGGGCAAAGAACACTTAGGCATTAACAGCATCAACATCAATTCTTCATGGGATTGATTTAATTAAATTTCGTGAGCAGTGTTTGAGCAAAAATCGTCACGGGGAAAATTCGCGCATAGATTTTTTTGCCCCTCAAACTTCCTTCTCTTTCTTTCCCCTCATGAAATTTAATTAAATCAATCTTTGTGCCCCCAAGAAACTCCCTGCGTGGGTACCAAAACTTTTACAACACGATTCCCCGATTTCCACCTCATATGCCCACTCTCTCTATCTCCTTTTTTCTCTCACTTTCTTTTCTCTTTTATTTTCTTTCTCTCTTCTCATGCATGTCGTCCAAATGAAATGAAGCAATGAAGGTCATATTTATAATAAGAAGAGGCGGCAACCACTAGGCTTTCATTGGTTGCTTGTACTCCAAGTGTGGGTAATTGTTTTCTATGATTTCAACAGCTAATGGTAATAAAGCTTAGTCACATAGGCACAATGATACTCATCATGTCAAGCTCGGACCTAGGGGTCGGTGGAAACCCCGCGCCCGGTACATTAGAAAATAAAAAGTAAGATAAAATAAAAAGAAGCAGAAACATGGGTTTAAAATAAGCTTCTCTTATAAAAATAGCTCCAAAATTTTACAAATTTACAATAAATAAATAAAGCTCTATCACTCTCATCTAATTCAACCTCAATTGGTTTAATCCTTGTCTTGCCCACTAATTCATCTGGAAAATTAAACATGGTGATAGATGAGCAACCACCACTCAATAGGGACATGAAACTTTACTACAGTAGATTGATATAACTAAATTAAGTGACATGCAATCACACAACCAAATATCACATTATTAATAATAATGCATGAATGAGCTTCAATTCTACTCCCATTAATTCATATAGTTAGACAAGTAGACCTACACATCCCATACCATACTTATACCACTTGGTCCCAAATGCCCATTTATATGAACTAACACTCATCTCAATCATCTCATAATTTCCCCTTTTGTTAGTCATCTTGTCTAACTCCCTGTCACCAGTCCTGCATCACCCAATAAAAATCATGTGCACTGTGGGTTCCCTGAGACCTGGTACCTACCAAGAGTTAGACTCAACTACTTAAAAGATTATTTCCATTACCCTCTTTTCCATCATTATTTTCTCAATCCAAGAACTCCAAATAATTTCCATGACATGATATAGTTCTTCTTTTCACATATCTCATAAAAATAATGTAATCATTTAAATATCACAAATGTACATATCAAGAACATTATAATATCATGCCAACATTTATTAAATAATTAACAACACATAAACATCCAATATCAAGAACATTATAATATCAAGAACATCCATCAAATTATAATATCACGCATAATATAGTGCTCACGGAATTTAATTAAATCAATCCATGTAAAGGCCACCAAGAAACCCTTACCTTGACACCTAAGCTTTTGCTAGAAATGTAAGGTGTTTCCCAATTTTCCACTGCAATCACAAACTCAGTCTCCCACTCTTTTTCTTAACTATTCTACTTCTCTCTACCTCTATTTTTCTCTCGCTTTCTATTTTATTTCTTCGTTCTATTGCCTCTACGCTTTTCTGAAGAGGAAAATGGGATTTGAAGAAATAAATGTTGTATTTATAGGATTCCAAGGGCGGTAGCTACGTTTATGCGATAACTTCAATGTTTAAAGATCAACTCCTTATTTCTTAAAGCCCAAGTAGCTTTTCTTTTACTCCAAGTCAAAGAAGGATAAGAAGAAATATCATGAAGACACGTATTGATGGGTTAAATGACCCAACCATTCATTTCATTGATATCTCATTAGTTTGCAAGTAAACTAGTAAACCAATTTGGCTATCATGCAAGTAATTTGCATAGTTGATTGATACATGCTAATCACGTTTTGCATATAAGATAACTCCCCAATAGCCATGCATGAAATATTCCAAGATAGCCATGCACAAAACAATCTTACTACCATTAACTAATTTTAATATTAAAATAAAATATTAAGGAAATCATCAAAACCATTTAATTAAAAAGAATGAACTTGCACTAGGTGAAGCAATTAAAAAAAACATAGACTTCCATAAAATGATTATAATACTATAATTTATTATAAAAGTCCAAAAATTATTATTTATATAATTATTATAATTTAATACTTATCAAAATAATTACTTTAAAAATAAAATGTTTAACCTTCCTAAATAAACTTTTAAGAATACGAATTCTCACACGCCAGGCCTGGCCCATAGCTTGTGCAGGCTGAGTGACTGCACATGGCCCCTAAATTTTTTTAAGTCCACTTATAAAAGAAGCTAAGAAAGGCCTTTCCTTCTTTAGACTTCACTTTTTGAAAAAAAAATTACAAAAATACAAAAACAAAAATGCCCTTAGACAAGAGAAACAATAAAATGGGCTCTTTTTTTTCTTTTTCTTTTTTCAATTTTCTAATCCAATATGATATCTGAAATTTTTTACTTAATTTTTTTTAATGTGTTTTTTGTTCAGTCGTTTTTTTTTCATTGGATGAAGATAATTTGGAATTATGTTGTGATCATTTGGAATTTTTTTGAAACATGGCAAGTCTTATGATCTTGATGGGAAGGATTTGTTTGAAGAGTTAAAAGTCATACAAGAGATTTTACCAAAAGAGCCTAAGACATCCACTAACATTTTGAGCACTTTAAAAAGACTCAATTTTTTTCCAAATGCAATAATTGCTTACAGAATATTATGAACTTTACTTGTTACAGTTGATTCAGCTAAAAGAAGTTTTTCCAAATTGAAGGTATTGAAATCTTACTTGCGATCAACCATGTCACAATTGTGTAACTTTGATACCTATTGAAAGTTATTTTTTGTACTAAATTAATTGTACTCGTTTGATTAATGATTTTGCAACTAAAAAAATACAAGAATGATAGTTTTTAGATGATTTTTGAACTGTTGGTTGCTGGTTATTGGTTGTGTGGCTGTTATGGTTGTTAAATGAAGTGTTGGTTGCTGGTTGCTGTTTTTTGTTAGTTTTTTTAACTACCTTCACATTTTTTGTATGTAAAAGACAATTGAGTGGGCTATGAACATAAGGAAGTAAATGTAATTGACTTTATTAAGGATTTTCTTGGTTCTATTTATGGATTATGATGTAATTGATGTCCCTAGGGGTGCATTTGGTTCTATTTATGGATTATGAATTTTTTTAGTTGTATATATATGGCCTCAACATCTCTCTTTGCACGGGGCTCCAAAATTAATGAACCAGCCTGACACATGTAAGTCTTAGTGTGCTACAAGTAATTGCATTCTTATATCACTTGTGAGTCTTAGTGTGCATCAAATAATTGCAAATACGCTTCTACATTGATTAATTAGCATGGAACGAATGTAAGGCTGCCAACTACACAAATTAATAGCAGGAGGTTTTGCACGCAAGAGATTTAGATGAGGTGATTATGTTCCTAGTGGCCAAGTCTAACAGATCCATAATTTTTAAAAGGACTGGGCTTGATTTACCTTACAAAGAAACTCGACGGGACGAGTGAACTTTATTGATAACAAAAATAATACACCTAGTTAGGAAGAACATAATGAGCCATATACCTCTCAAAATGCATCTAATACATAAGATATAAGTTAGTAAAAAAAGAAAATAGTAAATAAACATGCAATGCGGATACAAAATAAAACTATTTAAGTTGCATCCTTCGAGTCTTTAAAGAATTAAAATCATTAATGATATTATTAGCAATTTTTCTTCGTTGTGTGTAAATACTACCAAAAAATCAACAATTGTATATTTTTTAATTTAATTAATAAGATGAAATACCTTTATTACCCTTTTTAGCATTAAATTAGTTTTGGATCTCGTTTAAAATCTATACAATGCAGAGAACATAAAAATTCAACAAAACCATTCCCTGAGGTTTGAAGCCTCAAGCCCCTCTCCTCCTTCGAACCCTCATCTCTCCTCTGTTCTCTCCCTTCTTCCCTCTCTCTGCCTTCAAAGTAAACCAAACAGTCTCAGAGCCATGGACCAACACAAGGCCGATGACAATCTCCATTACGTCGGTGGCCTCACATGTGTTCTAGCCACCGATGCCTCCATTTCCTTTGCAGGTTTGTTCCATCTGCTTCAATTCATTATTTTCCTTTCGATTTTTGCTTAATTTACTCGATTTCAGTTTCTTCGTTGAATTTGGTGCTAATTTCCATTTTTTCGGTATGAACAGAGCTAATGGTTAAGCTCGTAGAGTTTTATGACACTCTATAGATTTGAGGTGTCAATTGCCAGACGAAGGTGTTCAGAATGCCAATGCCGGTGGTGATTGCGAGAAGAACGAAGATGAAGATGATTTCTCTTTCGCCTGCACCAACTCCGACGGATCGCCGATTTCCATCGACAATATATTCCAAAATGGCCAGATTTGTCCAGTGTTCCTGATTTTCAACCGAGATCTCATGTTCGCTGATGTCGACGACAACGATTCTTCCAGAGCCAAAGGGGCTGCCGCTTCATCTTCCTCTCTGCGGCCGCCATTGAAGAAGCTCTTCTTTGAAGAATGAGATACGCTGACCTCGGCAACGTCGTTTTACTACTCAAGAGATGGACTCGGGTTCTGATCCATGAGATCAACCAGCTTCTAAGTTTGATCATCAACACCTTCTACAGCAATAAGGAGATCTTTCTCTGTGAGCTCATTAGTAATGCCTCTGATGTATGTATTTTCACCGTTTATTCTTATGATGATTTCTCATTTCAGTATTTTCTAGTGTTTATTGTATGAATCGTTGTGTTTTCAGTTTGTGTTTGGCTTGTGAACGTTTTAAATTCAACGACTTATTTTGTATGGCTTAGGAGATTTGAACATGTTAACTTTTATGTTGTGGTTTATGATCATTTCAATATGGAAGGAAACTAATTTATTTGTTCCTTAGTCGTGATAGACATATTTGCTTTGGTTGATGTTTCGTCCTCTCTTTCTTTAGGGGCACCAAAAATACAAATTAGCCAATACATTAAAGAGAGGATATATGTCTTTCCTACATTCCTAGGACTGTTCCCTGTAATATTAACCAAATTCAGTTTCCATACTATTGGCTTTATGATTGACCAAAGCCTATTTGTTAGGTACAACATATGTTTTATTTCATTTAGTTTTGGTGTTGTCGAATGATCCAAAGAACATAGATAGATACATAATTTTTTTTAATTTCATAATAGTCCAATGATCTAAGTTTTCGGATACTCATAACCTCGCGCTTACAACAAGAGTTCGACTTTCATCTCTGTATTTTCAAATTTTACCTTGATTTCAGGTTGCTCAAACTTGTTGGCCATTAGGTTTTAAATAGAGAGGTAACACAACGAAGCAAGCAACATTTAAAATGTAATAAATGATTAATCATGTTTTGTATTCATTGCCTTGAAGCATGTCTTGCTTAGGACACATTGGTTAAGTCATGCACAAATAGACCACTATCTAACCCCTAACAACTGCAATGCTTAGCCAACAAGCTATGGCCCAACCAATAAACCAAACTTTCTACATCATTTCAAGCTGCTACCTAAGAGTCTTCATAAAAGTTTAACCAAAATATTGGGTGAGTTACATATGTTTTGCCAAACATCTGTTTTGGGAAATTGGGCTACTAATAAAATGTGTCAATATTCACAAATTCCTCATTTTTAGAGTTAGAAAATGAGAAAGTTGGTTTATTTATTGTACTAGTTTCGTGCAATTTTTTTTGCTTCTGAGTTGTAGCTGAAAGAGAGCTGCTCTCTTTGCCTTGCAAGTTTGTAATAGAATTGCAGCTGAATTTAATGGTCAAGCTTTGATTTCATTATAGTCTTCTGTTATTTTGGTGAAGAGAGATATTATCATTTTGAACTTATTCTGAGTATGTCATGTGACTGGATTTATTCATTTCTATGTGCTTTGATGTGGCATTTGCAACAAGCCAATTTTAGCTTTTTGAGTGGTTGTGGGTCTAATATATGTCTCTTGTAAATTGCAACAAGCTAGTAAGTTGATTTGTAGTATACAATTTGGTATCTGTAAGTGGTATGAACATTTGTTAACTTCCAGTAAGTGGTATGAACATCTGTTATACTGTTCATACCCTGCAACTGAGTTGATTTATATGACATAGTATTAATAGTGTACTTGTATGACATAGTATTAATAGTGTACTTGTATGACATAATATTAACAGATTTTCAGTAACAAAGCATGCTCTATATATAGTTGTGCACTTGAAGTTTATGATTTGCAAAATGTGATTTTTACTAGGAAGATAGTTCGATGACATAGTATTAACAGTGTACTTCTGTGACATAATATTAACAGTGTACTTCTGTGACATAGTATTAATAGTGTACTTTTTTTTTCTTGTAGAGGTATTTCCTTTTGCCTTTGTGATTGTATCTGATGAAACTGTAGACAATTGGAGGCCGTTGCAAAGGATATCGAATGTCTTGCTAAGCTATTTAGGGTTTTTTTTTTGAGTTTTTTGTATGAAATGGTATTTACAATGTTTTTCTATGAAATTGTATTAACAATGTATTTCTATGAAATTGTATTAACAATGTACTTCTATGACATGGTATTAACAATGTACTTCTATGACATGATATTAAAAATGTACTTCTATGACATGTTATTAACAATGTACTTTTATGACATGATATTAACAATATACTTTTATGACATTGTATTAACAATGTACTTTTATGACATGGTATTAACAATATACTTCTATGACATGGTTTGCGGAGGTTTGATGGAGAATAAAGGGTCGTGGGGACAGGCCCTTGGTTTTGGTGAATTTTTTTTTAAAGTTTGGGTTTTTCAAAAAAATCTAGGATGGGCTTGCTGGGTTTTTTTGGGAATTTTGTGTTAGGCTTGTTTTCAGTTAATCAATAATAGAGATGTAATTTATAAGAACTTCAATACTAATTTCATATGTAGTAAATGATTCTTGGGTATGTTTCATATGTAGTAAATGATTTTTGCTTTTCCATTTATTTTTCCCGCCATCTTCATAATTCTCGTTGGTTGTTTTTCTTCTCTCTATTACTGGGGACAATGCTAGGATTAAGTTTAGGAGTGGGGAATATTGTTCTTGTTGTGACTTCCATGTTTTGCAAAAACAAAAATAAAAAACAAAAAACAAAAAACAAAAAAACAAAAACATATAAATATTTTTCTTTTTTTTCTTTGAGTCCTTTTATTTTAATTATGCTTTTGGTAGTCACTTCCCAATTTTATAATGAGATTTGTTCTTTATTTTCAACCACTTTCAAAATTTTAAGCATGACAATAATTCTTTACATTGTGTTTGTAACATCCCAACCCAATTTTAATTATTCGTTTAATTAATTTATTTATTTATGAAATTACAATTTTGCCCTCGAGGATAGAGTTATTTTGGTCACTTTTAAATCCATAAGGATTTTGGGGACCTATTTTGTGATTATTTCAAGACATTATTTTCTTTCTCTGGTAGCCGGCAAATGGAGCGGATTCTAAATGAGGTAAGGCATGTAATAACAAATGCTATGAACGATCGGTTGTTGCAACCTTTTACGCGGGAAGAGTTGGAGCATACTTTATTTCAGATGTTCCCCACGAAAGCGCCTAGGCATGACGGTATGCCAGCTTTATTTTTCCAAAAGTATTGACATACAGTTGGCAATAAGGTGGCTAACAAATGTTTGCAGATTCTAAATGGGGAAGGAAGTGTTCGGGAGTTTAACCACACTCTTATAGCTATCATTCCGAAGGTCAAGATGCCAACCACTGTTTCAAAATTCCGACCGATCAGTTTGTGTACGACTGTCTACAAGATGATAGCGAAAACAATTGCAAATCGGTTGAAGTTTGTTCTTCCTCACGTTATTACTGAAAATCAAAGTACCTTTGTGCCGAACCGAATGATTCTGGATAATGTGATGGCTGCCTTCGAAATCATGCATACGATTGAGGGAGTGAAGAAGGGGCGCGATGTCAAAATGGCTCTCAAATTGGATATGGCCAAAGCATATGACAGAGTGGAGTGGGTCTTTTTGCGTGAAATGATGCTCAAACTGGGTTTTTCACCCATATGGGTCGCAAAAATTATGGATTGCATCTCCACTCCTACTTTTTCTGTGCTTTGGAAGGGTACTCCTCTTGGGCATATTATGCCACAGCGTGGGTTACAACAAGGATGTCCTTTATCTCCATATCTGTTTCTTACGTGCACTGAGGGGTTCTCGAGTTTATTGCGTGGTGCAGAAAGGAGGGTGATTTGATTGGTGTGCAAGTGGCAAGGGGGGTGCCTTATGTAACTCATCTTTTGTTTGCAGATGATAGTATACTATTTATGAAGGCCACGAAGGATGCTTGTATGGCTTTGGAAACATTATTCAAAATTTACTAAGAGGTCTCAAGGCAACAAATCAACTACTCTAAGTCTGCGTTCTCTTTAATCCGAATGCCATAAGAGCAGATTTTGATATGATTGCATGTGTTTTGCACATTCCTGCTGTGTAGTGCCATAAGAAATATTTAGGTCTGCCAACAATCGTGGGAAAGGGAAGGAAACAACTCTTTCAGCATCTAAAAGACAAACTTTGGAAGTATATAAATGGGTGGAAGGAAAAGCTCTTATCTAGAGCGGGGAAAGAGATTTTAATTAAAGTCGTGTTGCAGGCAATCCCCACCTATTCGATGAGTTGTTTTCGGATTCCAAAAGGATTGTGTAAGGAGCTGAATGGAATCATGGCTCGTTTTTGGTGGGCAAAGGCGAAGGACAAGAGGGGTATTCATTGGGTGAAGTGGGAGATGTTATGTAAGAGTACGTTTGCAGGAGGGTTGGGGTTTCATGACCTTGAGGATTTCAATCAGGCTCTGCTTGCAAAGCAATGTTGGTGCATTCTCCGGACTCCAGAGTCGCTGATAGCAAGGATTTTTAGAGCCAGATACTATCCATCAGTACCATTCTTAGAAGCCGGAGTAGGAACCAATCCATCTTTCATTTGGAGGTCTTTGCATTGGGGGAAGGAGTTGCTCAACAAGGGATTGCGTTGGAGAGTCGGCAATGGAGAGTCCATCCAGATTTATACTGACAAATGGCTTCCAGTCCCTTCTTTGTTCAGAATTATGTCTCCCCCACAGCTGCCTCTCTCAACACTGGTTTGTGATTTATTCACTTCCTCAAGTCAATGGAATGTGCCGTTACTTAAGGATATTTTTTGGGACGAAGAGGTGGAAGCAATATTGCAAATTCCATTGGTTTCCATGGCAAGTCACGATTGTTTACTTTGGCATTATGAAAGAAATGGCATGTATTCAGTAAAAAGTGGATATCAGTTGGCACGTTTGGAGAAGGGTAATATGTGTGGAGAATCATCGGCTGGTGTTGATTTAAGTTCACGGTTCTGGAAAAAAATTTGGGCTCTTAAAATCCCAAATAAGATTAAGTTCTTTATATGGAGGTGTGTTTGGGATTTTTTGCCTTGCGGTCAGACACTATTTAATCAGAAAATAGCTTCTACACCTATTTGCCCCAACTGTCATCGCAAATATGAAAGTGTTCTACATGTTGTATGGTTGTGTGAGGTTGCGAAGGAGGTGTGGCGCAACTCAGCTTGGGGGAGCGTTTGTAAGGTGTGGAGAGTCAATTCTTTTAGAGACCTATGGTATGCAGTACAGATTTCCTCAGGTGGGGAAGAACAAGGGCTGTTTGCATATTTGTGCTGGGGGCTTTGGAATATGCGGAACAACTTTATTTTTGAAGGGAAATCAGAAACTGCAACACAGTTGTTGCAGCGAATGACGGCACTTGCACAAGAATTTTTTGACGCGAACAATAGCTCTCATATAAGTCATGGTTGTCAGGCTAGCATTCCAGTTCATTTGCACGTTTGGAGGCCTCCAGCAGTAGAGATTTACAAAATAAACGTAGATGGGGCACTCAAAATTGGAGACTCTGTTCGTGGGGTTGGGGTGGTTGTCAAAAACGAGAATGGGGAGTTTATGGCCACATGTGGTAGGCGACTCCAAGGCATTTATGGGGCTAGGCAGATGGAGTTTATGGCTGCAATAGAGGGACTGCATTTTGCTATTGATATGGGATTTACTGATGCTATTCTAGAAATAGACACACAAGTTTGCATTCAGAGTATTCTTTCAACAGATGAGAGCAATGGAGTAGATGTTCTAATGATTGAGGAGGTGAAATCTCTACTTAATAATTTTAGAGCTGTTGGATGTCAATGGACTCCACAATGTGGTAATAAAGTGGCCCACGCTTTGGCTCAGTTTGTAATTCATTGTAATGAAGTTGTCACCTGGATTCAAGATGCACCAATATGGTTGCTCCCTGTGCTTGAAGCTGATGTACTTTCTTTGAAATGTTAAATGAAAAAAAAAAAAAAAAGGTAGGATCGCGTCAAGATGAGTCCGTAGACATGTAGTGGGCTCAAATCGGAGTTGTAACGAAAAAGTTACAATCAACGGAAGCATAATGGCATAACCATAAATATTTCAAAAATGGTTTTTAAGAATCTGATTTCCTCTCTCTCTCTCTCTCTCTCTCCTCCTTCGCGCGACTCAGCCCCCCATGAGTTCACTATTCAACTGACGACTTTTTGGACTCTCGCCGCTTCCATAGCCTACCATCGGCCATAAGGACCGCCTCTACCTCCTCTCTCCATCCCGCCCCATCCCCAATGCCGACAACCACCACCATCGCCGGAAAAAGGTAAAAACCGACCAATTTTTACCCAAAATTTCCTTTGCTCATTCCGGCAATTTCGGCCACCAATTTCTTCGATCTATGTATGCTTTCTCATCCTCTCAATGTGTTCTAGCTGATGGTTGGGTTGATTATGACCAATTTTTGCGTTTTGGAACTCGATTTATTGCTTAAAGTTTGGCCGGTTTTCAGCCCGTGTTTCTGGCAAGTTCCAGTCACTTTTTGGCCATGGTCCAAGAACAAAAGTTGCTCCACAAAATAGGATGACTTTGGGTATGTTATGGATTTTGGGTTTTGGTGCATTAGTTATGTGGTTATTGGACATTGAATTTCAATATCTTTGAGAATGTCGGAATTAATATGTATATATTGATGGGCTATGGTTTTGGGAAATTAAATATATGGTGTTTTGAATTTTATTATCTTGCCTTGTGAGATTTTCAGAGGTTGTATATCCCTAAGTATATGAATAGTGATTTGAATAGTAATTAAATCGAATGGGCTTATTTAGTCTCGATGTTTTTCTAAATTATGGTTTCATATGGTTTTCAAAAAGGAAACATGGGTATTATTTTATTATATATATTTTTAATATGGAAACAATTTGTTTTGGAAATCGGATTTTGAGAGTATTATCTTTATTATGTATTAGTTTATGAAAGTGGATTTTGGATCTTGGCGATGACACGCCATCTCATGTAACCCCGCTTGGATACTGATACTAGAATTGAGGGATAATGGATACTTGGAAACTGTGATTATGGTTTGGATATGATCGGGACTCGTGTACCCTTGACGGGGTATTTCGTAGACCCTTAGCGGGGTTAGTCTGCGCGCGTAGGACTTGTCACAGGCGCACGAGTATTGAGGATTCTGCTGTGCGTGCTGGTGGGCCTAGTCCTCCTGTTGGACAGCTCATCCCTATCGGCATGGTTGTTGAGGATTCCTCCGTGTGGTTCAACCAAACGATCCCTAGTTGGATTGTTCCCCCTCCCCAGCACTTGGACACTTGGATGCGGAAACTCGGATATTTATATTTGGATATGTCGGAACCCGGCCACCTTTAGCAGGGTGTTTTGTAGACCCTTAGTGGGGTAGTCTAAGCGTGTAGGATTTGTCACACGTGCACGAGTATTGAGAATTTTGTTGTGCGTGCTGGGAGCCCAGTCCCCTGGTTGGATGACACATCCCTGGCCACATGGTTGTTGAGGATTCCTCCATGTGGACTAGTTAAAAGATCCCCAGATTGGATTGTTTTTCCCCTGGTACATGATGATGGTGTGAGGTGTGTGTATATATATATATGGATTCGTTTTCGGGTTGAGATTCCTGAACTTGTGCTTCGTGAGTACTCTATACATATATGAATGTTTGATTTATGGTTTTGAAAGGGTTGTTCGGCAACATACGCCTTGGATAGGGTATGATTGCGGGAAATAACATATAAGAGGAAAGGAACTTGTAAAGTGTTCAGTGTATTGTTTGAGGAATTTTGATGTTGTAAAGAAATCTAAATTTAATCGTTGGTATTACTTTAGATAATCGTATATTATCTTAATCATGATTGTTGATAGAAGAACTACGTGCGGCTTGATCCCTCAGTAAGGGTACGTAGGTAGCTTGGGGTCTCATCTAGGTGTAGCCGCGAGATAAACTATATTTTTGGAACTTTATTTCGGTCATTGGAGTCAAATTCTATTTATTAGGTTTGTTGAGTTGGTTTTGGATTTGTCGGTGGCCTAAAGTCCGATTGAAAATTATGTGAGATTAAATTCCTATTTGTATTCTAGTTTTTACTAAAGGGATGCGGTTAAAATGTGTTTGTTTTAGATTGATGAATGATTGTGGATTGGATCTTTACAATTACTTATGATTGTGCCTGTGGAAGAGGAAATGTCTTCTCTAATTACTTTTACGATAAGTGATATGGGTGTATGGATTTACAATGAGTTCTAAAGCAAGAACATTTTAGAAATGCTTGGTTATGAGGCCGGAGGCTTATTATGTAAATTGTATGTTATTATCTTGTGCATGCTGCTGATTGAGTTATAATTGTATTTGACAGGTTTAAAATTTTTGGGAAATGTCCATTTTTCATGGGATACTTTGCCGAAATTTCTGCAGAAAGTCTCATTCCTCTTTCCCTTGATTTGGAAAAGGAGCTTGATGTTAGTAAGTGGGCCCAAAATCAGTTGATGTCTGAAATTCCACAGGATTCGTCGCGGATTCCGAGGAATTCGGGCAGTTCCTGTCAGTGTTAGCCATATTTTGATGACAAAATTTGGTAAATCTCTATGCACATAGCGATGTTAATATGATTTTTGATTGAGAATTTCACATTATTTAAATCTCTAAATAAAAACTAGTGTAGACTTATATAACCCTCATTATGTGAGCTTTTGAACCTATGCCTTCCTTTCTTGAGTGTTATATGCAATTCTATAATTTTTGTATATAAGTCATTGTGATCTCATTATTCTTTCTTTTGGTCAAATACTTGAGGATATTTAAATTGTTTGCTAGAACCACTTTCACTATCTATTTTAGGCATATTTCTAAACCACGTGGATTCTAGGAAGTGATATAGGTCTTGTTTCTTTCTTTTGAGCCTTTCTAGCCAACTTGTTCATTAATTATCCCTAGTTTGCCCTTTTGTGCCTTTATTGTAAGCCTTTTCAATTGTATTACCTAAATTCTCCCTACCATAGCCCTTCATAAATTTTCCTACCCTTCTAAGGAGTTTGTAGAGCAATCTTCATAAAAAGAGAGAGTTATTCAAAGTTGACGAGGCAAAAGTGTGAAGTAAAAAAAACAAAGAATTTGCTGTGAGAAAAATATTGAAAAAAAAATCTAGGCAAATTCCCAAAGTTGAACAAGTTCATTCAAAAGTTCAAAAAAGTGTGCTCAAGTTCAAAAAACGCTCCGAATTAGTTGTATCTCTCAAGTGCAAGAGTGTTAAAAGTTGTAAAGCTCTATGAATTCCTTAGACTTTGTTGTTTTCTATAAGCTTTTCTTGTTTTAGCCATCACCCTAAGCCCCACTACAACCTTAGTAAAAGTCTTACTTGATCCGAGGAGTAGTGTGGTTCCTTATGTGGAGAACAGGTGTGGAAAGACTATGGTCGGATGGTTTAAATGTTTTCAAGTATGTGATATATGTTCATGAGATTTTTATTCATGTCTTGTGCTTTTATTTCGATTATGTGAGTACATTCCATTACTTTGAATCTTCTCACATGTATATTAGTGACAACACCTAGTCAAATTTTAAGTGCTTTTATTAGAGAGAACATCCTTGGTGAGATTTGAGTTTGAACCTTCTTGTTATTTGGTTATTTAACTTTTGTGAATCTTAAATCGTGGGTTGTATTAATGTTGGCTATTTCACACACTACACTCCAAGTTGTTCAATTAAAGTTTGGTTAACCCTTTGATAATGTCTTGAGTTATTGTTGCTTATCTATTAGAAGTTGGCTAACAGTTTATAATTATCTATGATATCAATATTGGGGAGTTAGTTGCTTGTTTGTGTCCAGTCTTTGTTCTTATGTTTTGTTTTGCTCGGGGACTAGCAAAATCTAAATTTGGGGGTATTTGATAAGTCATTTATATATCATATAAATTTACTATTTTCACTTAGATATTGTATAGTTGATTGTTTTATAGATATCTTCACATATTCCAACTTTTGTGTTTCCAGGAACTCTAAAATTCCAAAAATGGCGGCGTTTTACTTGGCGCTTTTGGATGAAACCACTTGGTATCAAAACGAGTTATTGAGCCAGCCAACCGTTCAAAACGAGTTGTTAAAGTCAAGGCAAGTGTCATAAGGGCATACTGGAGCTGTTGAGCTTGAGGACGATTTTAGTTAAGTTTATGGGATTTTTCTTGGAAACCATTTGTCATAAAAATTGTAGCTGACGTCAATACCTTTTCAATGACATCTTACACATTCAATTTGGTGAAGATTAAACCCCCAAAAGCTAAGAATTGGAATCTCTACTGTAAGCCGCAAGGAAGTAGGAAGGCTGACTTGTACTTTCTATTTTTTATATTTCCTTTTTTTTTTATGGAGTACTTTTTATATTTCCTATGTGGTTACAGTTTGTTTGACCATTCTTGCCTTGCAAGTTAATTTATTTGTGGTTTGCTAGGACTAGGAAAAGGTAGAGAGATGATATAAAAATAAAAGCCTAGGTCAGATTAGAGAACCTTACGATCAGTTTCATCAAGGAGAGAATATTGCGCTAGGCATATTCGTGCGACATTGTATTTCAGGGTTTTCTCTTTCACTCTTATGATATTATTTTTTGTGTTTTAATTACGTTCATGTGTAACTAAACTTTAATCTAGGGCGGGGTTAAGCCCTAGCATGATGATATAGGTACTGTACAATTATTTATTGGTTATGTACTTTGATGCTTGATCACCATTATGGTATATGACTAAGTTATATGATGCAAAATTGAGTGAATGCCACAGTGATTTTGAGTATGCTTGCAATTAAAAGGTATGATTACTTAGGGTAATTGCCATGCTCTAAGAATTACATGATTTATTTGGTTACTCATGCTCATCATACTCTTCATGTTTATATCTAGCCTAAATGCCATAGGGAGATTGCATGTTGTATGAATTATTCTAGCCTAAATGACATAGGGAGAATAAACGTAAAGTAACCAATCTTCAATCTAGAATTATCTCTTAATGGATGAATGAACATAAGTGCTATATTGGATTGCTTGTGGTGGACGCCTAGCCTTAGTATCTTATCTTCCTGATTTTCTCAACCAATTAATGTATTTATAAAGATTGGTTGAGCGGTTTAGATTTACCGAAATGCGGATAAATGCACGGAACCTAAATGCAGAGGCTTGAGATTGCCACAATTACATACCAGTTCATATGGTAGAAGAGGTGGCTATGCCACATCAATTATATGATGAGCTGTCTTTTAATTAAAGTACGTAAATTTTGGAAACAATGAAGCTATAATTACTTATTTTTCCAAATTAAGATGTTAATTTGACATTCTCTACATCCTGCGCCTTTTTGTTTCTAGAATCCCACCATTCACGTCGTCTTCAGCAATGGGTGTATCCAATTCATACTTATAAAGACTTTTTTTTAAGTGAGTGACTTTCATAGAGATGACAAATTCTTAAATACTCTCATAGAGTTGATAAAAGTCACTAGTAAATTGGCAAGACTTTTGCTCTTAACAATTAGCCTTAAAAGTATGGAAAAGTCATTCATTTAATAAGCTTTTTAAAAGTCATTAACTTTTTGGATACCACCGAACTTTTAAATACTTTTTAAAAGTCATAACTGAATACCACCGAACTTTTAAATACTTTTTAAAAGTCACAATTGAATACTACTAGACTTTTATATACTCTTTAAAAGTCTAAATTGAATACCTCTAGACTTTCAAACTCTATAAAAGTCATTAAAAGTTTGAATTGGATACACCCCCAAGATTTTTTCTTTTACTTTCTTTAATAATTTATTTCATTTTAATTGATACTTTTTTATTCTTAACTACTAAAAATACCAGTAATATGATCTTTTATTAATTTCTTATAACATACCTAAGCACTTCAACCATCGCTTTTGATTGAACTAATTAGCATAATATGAATTAATATACAATGATTACATTATATAATCACTAAGCAAATTGCTTTTGGTTATGTTATAACATGTACGCTACTACTATTCCTTCAAATTGTGTTAGTTATATATATATAGAGAGAGAGAGAGCTTCCATTGAGGGATCCCTCAAATAAGCTTATTTGAGGAACACCCCTTGTAGGCCCCACTCCGGATTGTATTTCACTAATCCAAACCGTTTATTTTGTAGATACTCATTCAAAGATCATCTCTACAAAAAATCACTTGAATCCAATATCATTTGACCACTCAATTGAGTTATTGAAATTTTAGTACTTTCTTGAAGCATCGTGTGTCATTGATTTTGTAAGATACAATTGGATGTCAAAACGGTTTCCGATTTGTCTGATTTTTTGTAATGATGATCTATGAATGAAGACCTAAAAAACAGATTGTTTGGATCATTGGGAAAAAAATTGTATGATACCCTAAACGACGTCCCTCAAATAAAATTATTTGAGGGATCCCTCAATAGAAGGGGACTGATATACAGAGATCCATCTATTGAATATGTTTTCCTCAAAATGCTTAATCCTTTTGTCTTTTATCTTCCCTGTTTTTTCTCCGAAAGACATTTGGAATTTATGAACATCTTATTTTGGCCCATAAATGTTGTAACCAAGTACAGTTTCCAATCAAGGACAGATAATATTCAAAGAAATTTCAAAATCACTATCTAACGAAGAACCCATCAGTGACACATTTAATTCTAGAATAGGACAAAATGATACTGCACATGGGCTAGCTCAGTGTTGGAAATCTATTCAACAAAAACAGCGTTATGCCTCATTCTATAGCAAGGGTACAGCTTCGCAAGCATTGCCCGGTTAGTAGAAGAGCTATAATTTGGGTACGAGGATGACTTTGAAAGTACTCAAATGTTAATTTTTTTGGTTTAAGTTCTGAATACAATGGTAATCCCCAGTTGATTAAAGATATAGTTCATCAGTTGTTCACCCAATTAAGTTCTATAGTTGTTAATGGAGCGTTGTATGCTCAAGGGACTCGACAACTATTACACAAGACATAACTTTTTAGTTCAGTTGAATGTACTACGGATCTTTCGAGTACAAATTGTAAGAAATGCCTTGATTATGTAATAACCGAACTTATAGATCGTAGTTATAAAATGAAAGGTGGACGAGTAATGTATGGGAGTTGTTACATTTGACACAAGAGTTTATTTGCCCATGTTGTTCGTTTTGCATAATTTAGTTTAAATTTGGCTTTGAAGTGTCAAGTTAAGTCATGTTTAGACTACTTGAGGCCAATTGGGTCACTAATCCATTCAACTCCAATAACTTTGCCAAAAACAGAACTTCAAACCAAAATGAGTTTCAACGAAGGATTACTTTGGATGGCAGAACACATTGGGTCAAGAAATAGTTGTTTACGGTCAGCTAGTTTATTTTCCCAAGCGTAATTCTAATTCGCCATAGGTCAAACAAAAGCGATGTGGTCAAAATTTTCCTCTCTTTCTCTTCTCAAGCCACATTGCCCCCTATTTTTGCCATTTTTGTAGTTGTTGTTGCTCTGAACAAATTCATCAAGGGCCAAGTCAAGTTGTACATTTATCCCTAAAAAGCACAATTCTAGTTTCCCTATGTGTGGTAAGCTAAGATTTTTTTTTTTTTTTTTTTTTTTTTTTTTTTTTTTTTTTTCAACCTCAATAATCTCAAAGGATGTTTTCCAATGATCCCTTCTTGAGACACTAAATATTTTGAGGCCAAACATACTTTTCTACTAAGTATGACCCCATTGGCATTTGGATTTGTGGTTTATTAGAAGTGAATAAGAAAATATTTTAAAATACATGAGTTGGTGGATGACCACCATATCTCTTAGCATTCACAATTTCTAATTCTATGTAACCTATGCACTAAATATTATAGTTATGAACTTGTAATTTATGAGTTATTAATGTCTTCATATCCCTATAAATAAGAGGTCTTATTAGGACGAGATATACAAGTTGATTGACACAAATTCTATCGTCTTTCTCTACTTTCCAGTTCTCTTTGCAATTTTCCCTTTGTTATATATGACAGAGATCAAGTTTTTAGTGCATAGGTTACATAAAATTAAAAATGGTGAATGCTAAGAGTAAATGAGAAGCGGCGGATGAAACAAAACCCCACCAATGGCTGGTTGCCTGAGCTGAGAGGCAGAGTTCAAGATGGACGGGGAAGTGTGGTTACGTGGCAGTCAACGTGAGAGGGGATGAGCTCACATTCCGCGTACGCGTAGAAACCGCGTCAAATTATAAGCGTAGCAATCACATAATTCGAAAACAAAAAAAAAAAAAAAAAAAAAAAAAAAAAAAAAAAAAAAAAAAAAAAAAAACAACAACCACCACCACTACGCGTAAAGTTATTCTTAGAAAAAATAGACCAAGACTTATACTTGGCTACAATCAGAACCACAGGAGACCACTGTATCTGATGGGCTCTGATTTGACAGGAATTATCCATGTCATCTTGGGTGCCACATGGCAGCATGATAAAGGCCATCACTTTTTTACAAAGCTCCAAAATTTTAAATTTTAAATTTCGAGAAATTGCTTATTTTCTCTTTTTTTTATAATTATTATTTTTATAGTTATGCCCATTCTGAAAAATTTCTCAAAAGTTTACCTTACCTAAAATGCCCCTCTTTGGAACAATCACATAACATATGAGAATTCTTTGTCGACATCAAAAAGAGTGAAAACATGTGTACAATTTGATGAATTTAGTATAGTATTCAAAGAAAAATGTAAGATGGTAACAATATATGTTACTTGTATATTTTAAAATAAACATTAGAACTCCTAATATAATAGTTGAACGCCCATGATAACCGTAAGTCTTGTAAGAAAATATGTTAAAAGTATTACCAACTAGTTGAATTCATTCTCGTGAAATTAATCTTACAAGTATTATCTATGAAAAACTTGCGATATGGTTATTTACTAAATATGGGTGTGCATCTAGAAGGACCAAAATATATCATACAAAGATGGAGATGACAGATAGGTTTGGTTTTGCATAATTTTGTAAGAATCAGGGTAAAAGTATTGCTTATGAACTCTAATTCAAGTGGCATTCATATGTGATGAGCAAGTGAGATATTATAAGTTCAAATATTTTTGTATGTATATTTCAATCCAATTTAGAACTATAATAAAAAGAACCTCCTTAATATTAATTCAAAACCATAACTATCCAACAAAAAATGACTATTTCTTCATCCTTGATTTGAGATTTTTTTTTTTGGGTAAAAGATTTGAGAAGTTTTTTATTTACCCAAATATGAACAAACTTAACTGGTCCAAATATAAAAACATAAACAAATTTGTTAATTTTATAAGCAACTCATGACACAATTTGTTTAAAATCATGTACAAAGAAACTGTTAAATCAACGGAGTCTAGCCCAGTATAAAGGGCCTTAACTTGCAGAATAATAGTTTCCTGTTTCAACCTTCATTACAACTTGATAGTGTGTGTGAGAAAAACTCTGCTAACTCAAAATCATTTGTATAAAAAAGAAAATTAATTAATTTTTTTTTTTAATGTTCCATATCGATTGCCTTTTTAATTTGTCAATATGTCCAAAATGACTCCCACTTAACTAGTTTTAGTTATTTTTAAATATTAAAAAAACTATTTTGAGTTATTTTCTTTCTTTTTTGGGAATCATATAACAATATAAATTATTAAGCTAGTGTGTGCCAATTGGTTTTTCTTTTTCACTTTAGAATGAAGAGAGATAAAATAATTTGGTTGTTGTATGCCATGAAAATAGGACTCATGTTCTTATTTTTAATTTTGATTTTTTAATTTTTTTTAATATGAAAAATTGTTGATTTACTATAATATCCTTCTTTTAATGAAAATTCTAATTCTTAATAAATTCATTAATCAAGGGTAATTTTTTGTATTTTGAATGTTTCCATGCCTTTTACTGTGTATATATGTATGGATAATGCTAAATATTACTTAAAAAAACCCTCTAGAAATATTAAAATATAAACAACATTTCAAGTCTAAATCATATTATAACAACAAAAGAAAGAACCAAAAATAGTATTTTGATAAGGGCATATTTTTTGGGTAAATAATAATATTGTCATTTTATTTTTGGTAATTTAATATTGTGAAATTTATTAGACGCGTCTGTTTCCATATTCAATTTAGAAGTCGCTAGAAAAAGAGTCGCGATATGGACAAAACAGTCATTTCGAAAGAGGAAAAAAATGAAAGGCTTCGAGGGCTAAAATGGTAAAGTTGAGATGCGTTGGACTGATATAAAATGGACACTCTTCTTCACTTGTTTGTCTGAACGAAAGAAAATCTATCTCTTTGTTTCTTTTCTCGCAAATTTTTGTGTTCTTGATTTCGAAGAGAAAAGAAAACGCAATCTCAGCTTCTCGGGAAACAGACAAGCACCGATGGCGGATCAGCTGACCGACGATCAGATCTCTGAGTTCAAGGAAGCCTTCAGCCTATTCGACAAGGACGGCGATGGTTAGACTTAGATCTCCCTTCCAATGTTTGCATATTATTCATATTTACATGTTATGGATCGTTCATCTATGCCAGATCTAGGTCTTGTGTTTCTGATTTTGGTTCTTGTTTTTGTAATTAGGGTTAGGTCATGTATTGGGTCATGTTGTATATATTTTCTGCGTTTAATTTGACTTTCTGCTGCGGAATTTGGATCATCGATTTTGAATTTTTCCTTTTAAATTGTGATATTTGGTTTTGCGGATTCATTAGCTTTGAAAAGGAAAATTTGTGTGAAAAAACGTTTGAAGTTGAGCGATTTAGAAATGGTTAATCTTCTCTTTGAATGGTATTGAGCGTTTTGATTTGTAAAATGGTAATTAATCCCGGATCTTTATGAAGTGATTATTTATTTTAAGACCTGTGAAAAGTACAACGACGTTGAATTAGTTATCATTTTTGTCATGCAATAACTCCAGCCATAAATTTTTCTTTGTTGCATACATGTGACATAACAGAGTGTTTGGAGCTGTAAGTAAAGCCTGTATTGGAAATTGAAGATTTATTGTGTTGGATATGTATTTTTCTTGTGGAGATGTAACTTGTGCAGGTGGCTGTATATTTTGGATTTATGTGCTTGTATACACGATTCAAGTATCATATTGTCGGATTCTATTGTTTATGCTTGTGTTGTAGGATGAATGATTGTAGATCATGTTATCGATGTATGATTTATTGTTGGATGCTCTAGTGTGATTTATTTTCTTACAATTCCCATGTTCTATACTTTCACACAAAGGTAAATGATGGGCTAATACATCTCTTGTGGATGCTTGGGTGTTTTATTATTGTTGATGCTATGAATTTTTAAAGCAGCTCTTACAATTGGTATGGTCTGTTTTTTGACCATATATTGGTAATGGCTGATTCCATACGTTTCAATGTGTGTTTACACTCGTGTCTTTTGTTGTACAAATGGAATTTTGCATTCAGAGTGTACATCATTAGATGGTGTTTTTGTTTTCATTCACGATTATATATATTTACGAGATGAACTTGTTGAACTTTAAAATGCTCGTGCTATATTCTAGAAGGCAGTACAATTTATCATTTTTCACTTTCTCAAAGGATATGAAATGCCACTAATTTTTGTTATCATCTCAGAATCTGCATACCTTGTGTTCTGTTGTTGTGCTTAATAGATAAGAAAGTTGATACTGGTGAGAATTTAGCTTAGTTGTGTTCCTCTAATAAAGATGATAATAGTAAGAATTTAGCTTCTTCAGTAGTTTTCCTCCATAAGCAATTATCTGCTGCCAATCATAAGAAGCAACTTATTGCTGTTTCTAATAATTTTAATATGCAGGCTGTATCACTACCAAGGAACTCGGGACTGTGATGAGATCATTGGGGCAGAACCCAACAGAGGCAGAGCTCCAGGACATGATTAATGAAGTGGATGCTGATGGTAATGGAACCATCGACTTTCCTGAGTTCTTAAACCTGATGGCCAGGAAGATGAAAGACACCGACTCTGAGGAGGAGCTGAAAGAGGCTTTCAGAGTTTTTGATAAAGATCAGAATGGCTTCATTTCTGCTGCTGAGCTGCGCCATGTGATGACAAATCTGGGGGAGAAGCTCACTGACGAGGAAGTTGATGAGATGATTCGTGAGGCTGACGTTGATGGTGATGGCCAGATAAATTACGAGGAGTTTGTCAAGGTGATGATGGCTAAGTGAGAGTTTCAAGAAACCTAACTCACATGATTATAAAAAAAAAAAAAAAAAAAAAAAAAAAAAAAAGAGAAGAAAAGGGTTGGGAGGAAGGTGGTGAGAATTAAATTAATGGGATTCCTAGCTTCCATTTTTATGTTTATGGTTTTTGTAATCAAGTCTTTGAAAAAAAAGTAGTAGACTCTAGTGGAGGTGGTGGTGTTTTTGCCTCCCCCTTTTATGTCTTGTGACAATGGTTTGGCAGTTCAATTATTTTCTTTTTCTTTTCCTTTTCCCTTTACCCTTTCCTTCTTCCATTTTCTGGTCTATTGTGAACTGTAACTTTCTGAGAGGATTCAATGTTCTATGTTGGATGGATGACCCATTTTATTTGTAGGCTACGTCTTATTTTACAACAAATCTGCGTGTCAATTTTTGAGCAAAACCATATGATGGTTCTCTATGTCATGATTTGTCAAAGGTTGAGCTTGATGTATATGATTTGTCATATGTTGTATAGTTTTCCCAAAACTGTTAAGTAACCTTAACAAGTTGTGCTTGAGCTCGATCTGGTATGGCATTCGATTGTGTGGATCTGGTCTACACTTCAATTAAAAATGATGCTTTTGTATTGCACAAATAAAAAAAGGATACAAGGTGACAAACACTACTACAAAAAAGGAAAAACACGACGGTAAATCACCGTCGTGTATTATGTTTTCAAATGGTCGTGGAATCCACCGACATCTTTTCCATAACCAAACCACGACGGTGAATAACCGTCGTTGTTAAAACAAAAAACGTCATCAAAAAATAAAAACCGACGTCTTTGTGCTGCAAAAAGACATAAAAAAAAGGGTCGAGGATGAGAATAGACGACCAACTCCAACAAAAAAACGTCGTTAAAAAGGAAACAGATGACATATATTAACAGAACATGGCCGCAAGATAAACATACAACGACGAGAACTTAAACTTGACGCCGTTAAACAAATATTTAACGACAAATATAAATACGACGTCTTTACAATAATAATAGACGACGTTATTGACACCTACTACGTCACAACATTTCCCACAACCGTCGTAAAATAAATTTTCCACTTCGATTTTTCTATGAATTATGACGTGGAAATAGATCTCAGGGTCATTACTTACGACGCATGTATTTACAGAGACGACGTTGAATTGATAAATAACGCCGGTTTCAAATAAATGAGAGCCGTATTACAGAATTTATACGTCATATTTTGAAAATAAACGACGTGGAAAAAATGATGGGGTCATTAATTACGACACAGTAATTTATAAGGACGACGTTGTCGTCTATATACAACGTCGGTACCATGAAAAAGACCGTCGTGTTTAATAATTTATACGTCTTCATTTAAAAAATTGACGTCGTCTAATGCATATATCTTAACGTCGACAAGTTTAATGGACTTCAAATACCGTCGTAAAATAAATTTTCCACTTCGATTTTTCTACGAATTATGACGTGGAAATAGATGTCAGGTTCATTAATTACGACGTATGTATTTACTGAGACGACGTTGAAATGAATAAACAACGTCGGTTCCAAATAAATGAGAGCCGTATTACAGAATTTATGCGTCATATTTTGAAAATAAACGACGTGGAAAAAATGATGGGGTCATTAATTACGACACAGTAATTTATGAGGACGACGTTGTCGTTTATATACAACGTCGGTACCATGAAAAAGACCGTCGTGTTTAATAATTTATACGTCTTTATTAAAAAATTAACGTCGTCTAATTCATAAATCTTAACGTCGACAAATTTAATGGATTTCAAATACCGTCGTGAATTCATCCTTTTCCACTTCGTTTATGAAAGAACATGCGACGTGGTAAATTCATGACGACGTCGTCTTTTGTAACGTTCAGGTTAAAGTTCTCGTCTTTTAGACGTCGGTGTTATGGGATTGGAGACGTGTTATATTGAATTACATGGCGGTTCTTTATCAAAACCGTCGTGTTTGTAATCTGGAACCAGTAATTTTTGTACTGATTGTTTTGTGGCCAAAACCTGTATAATGAAAGTGAAGAAATCACATTACAATATATTACAAAATTAATGTCATACACTGCCAATTACATAAAGCATCATTCAACCCATATATCTTCACACCCATCTCGAATATTTTGACTCCCTAACTCAACCACCACTTCATCAAATGTGTCAACATTTGGCATCCCCCTAGTAAATGGCTCACACTCAATTCTCACATCACCTAAGACATCATCACCAATAACATCATTATATTCTCTATTAGGCATTGATAACACTACCGACCAACCACGATGCATCGGGTCGTCAACAAAAAATACTTGTTTGACTTGAGAAGCCAAAACAAATTGGTCATTCCTATGTCCAATTTTACTCAAATCTACAAGGGTAAATCCAAGTTCGTCCACTACAAGACCAGAAGTATTATCAATCCAATCACACCTAAAGACTGGGATTGTAAACTTTTGGTAGTCAAGGTCCCAAATTTCTTGAATGACACCATAGAAACCCATATTTGAGATAATTGGGTTTTTATCCTTGGCACTAGCAACTTGCATAGTATGTGCAAGTAAATAAACTCCACTATTTTGAGTTGTCCGCACATCATCTTGTGCCTTGATGTTGAATTTAATACCTTTAATGAGATAGCTCCTATATAATGGCACTGCCATGTTTGGACCAGCTGCTAGCCACCTTAAATTTTCTGATACGCCATGATTGTCTTCCTCATTAAGTTCACTTTGAACCTGCAAATTAATCATAACTTAATTCAATCTCACACAGGAAGAAGAAAATTAAAAGTCCAATATGTTATTCAATAACATATACCTTGAAGCGTAGCCATTGAATGAAAGTGCTATTGTGCTTATCCTGCAGCCACTTTGTTCTCTTTCTAAATTTTGGATAAGCGGTCTGGATGTGGATCATATGTTGCCTACATGACACACAAAATTCAAGTATTACGATCCCAAACATATAAGATAAACATAAGAAATAATTTAAAATGGAAACTTAAAGAATAAAACTCATACGTACTCGATATAAGGTAGGACTTCCTCCGTATTCTCCAAGACATATAGATGTGCTTGGTTCAACAGGTCCCGATCAACTACGCTCACTGTGCAACCTGATAATGGCTTTGAAACTCCCATCTTTTGGCTTGAAGGCACTCCAACTGTACTAACATCAGATAAATGCTCGGTACAAAACTCTACAGCTTCTTCAGCTATATACCGCTCAGCAATGCAACCTTCGGGACGAGTACGATTCTGAACATACCCCTTTAGCACTTTCATATATCTTTCAAACGGATACATCCATCTAAAATATACTGGCCCACACAGACGAACTTCTCTGACAAGATGTACTACTAGATGAACCATGATATCAAAGAATGAAGGGGGAAAGTACTTCTCAAGCAAACACAAAGTAACTACTACATCTTCTTCCAACTTATCTAGCTTGGAAACATCAACAGTCTTTGCACATATAGCATTGAAGAAGAAGCACAAACGAGTTATTGCATACCTTGCAGGCTTCTCCAAAACAGAACGAATTGCCACAGGGAGCAATTGTTGCATTAAGGTATGACAATCATGTGATTTAAGGCCAAGAAGTCTTGAATCTTGTAAAGATACAAGATTTTTTATATTTGAAGAATAACCTTCAGGGACCTTCATACCATAGAAAGAATTGCAAACCTCTCTCTTCTCTGCTCTTGACAAATTCCAAGGCCCGGGAGGCAAACGAGTACGTCTTTCTCCATACTCGGGTTGCAAATCAATTTTGACCCCCATGTTCAATAAATCTAATCGAGCAGCAATCCCATCTTTATTTTTTCCAGGGATCTCCAGCAATGTACCAATGATACTATCGCAAACGTTCTTCTCAATGTGCATAACATCTAGGACATGCCTCACAGGAAGGTATTTCCAATACTCGAGATCAAAGAATATTGATTTCTTCTTCCAACAAACTCTGTCACCATCTTCAACCATATGCAGCACTTCTTCTCCGGTTAATGGCTCAGGAGGCGTGCCATATTCAGGTTTCCCATTAAAAGCTGCACGTTGCCTCCTATATGGATGATTGATCGGTAACCATTTTCTATGCCCAATGTAACAAATTTTGTGGCCATTTTTCAACCTGTGACTAGGTGTATCATCGCCGCATATTGGACAAGCTTTATATCCTTTAACAACACAACCAGATAAGTTTCCATAGGCGGGGAAATCATTAATTGTCCACATTAATGCAGCTCTGAGTGTAAAGTATTCTCCATTATGTGCATCATACACTCCTCCAATCCCATCCCACAAAGATTTTAAATCATCAATCAAAGGCTCCAAGTAGACGTCTATATCATTTCCGGGCTGTTTAGGACCGGAAATCAATAAGGTCAACATCATGAACTTTCGTTTCATGCACAGCCATGGAGGGAGATTATATGTAACTAAGATAACTGGCCAGCAACTATATCTGCTACTTAGAGAACTGTGGGGATTGAATCCATCAGATGAAAGAGCCAATCTCAAGTTTCTCGGCTCATTACCAAACTCGGGCCATTTATCATCAAGAAGTTTCCAAGACGGGGAATCCGCTGGATGAGACATATAACCGTCAATTGATTTTCTAGCAGCATGCCAAGTCAAACTCTTAGCGGTCTCATGTGATCGAAACATCCTTTTAAACCTTGGAATTGGAGGAAAATACCACACCACCTTCGCTGGCACACCCTCTTTCAAGATTGAATCTTTGCCTTCCTTCCACCTTGAGATACCACAATTAGGACAATGAGTTAAATCCTCATACTCCTTCCTATACAAGATGCAATCATTGGGGCATGCGTGCATTTTCTCATAACTCAGCCCCAATGCACACAAAGTCTTTTTTGCCTCATACATAGAGGCCGGTATTGTATTTCCGTCTGGAAGCAAATCGCCTTGAAGTATCAATAATTCTGTAAAACAGACATCACTCATCCCATATTTTGCCTTCAAATTATACAACTTCACTAATGCCGATAACTTCGTGTACTTTCTACAACCAGGGTACAATGGTTGATCTCCATCCCCAATCACATTGGCAAACTCATAAGGATCAGATCCAAAATCACCAAAATCATTATCATCCATCTCTATTTCTTCAGACACAAAACTGTACCTACTATGGTCATCATCTTCTTCAACATTTCTACTAGCATTAGTAGCTGCTTCCCAAGGTTCTCCGTGAAATGTCCAATTCTTATAGCTTTGGTCAACTCCATTAAAGTATAAGTGATCCCTTATAATTCCAACCCCAAACAATTTCAAATTAACACATTTAACACATGGACAACGGATATGTGTGGTAGTTAGAAGATTTTCTACAGAAAAGTTCAAAAATGCTTCCACCCCTAACTCATATGCCTTCGATCTTCTATCCGAGTGCATCCATGACTTATCCATCTCCGACACTATACCCTATTATATATAATAAAGTGAAAAGACAAGCAATGACCATCACTATAGCAGATTACATAAAGTCTAATAGCAAGTAATATACAACAGAGACGACGGTTTTTAAACAAAAACAGACGTATTTGACATATATAGACGACGGATTTTACGTCGTCTAATTGTAACCACGACGGTAGTTAAATAACACCGTCGTGTATAAGTAATAAAAACGACGGTTTAAAGTAAAAACCGTCGTCGTATGCCTGAAAACGCGTCGATATCCAGTTTATTTTCAAGATCCCAAAACCCTATTAAGAACACAACATAGACATGAAACCAAGCAAGAAACCAACATATACATGAAACCAACATATACTAAGCATGAAAACAATAAATCCATTCCCAATTCAACATGACAGAGAGTGATTAAAAGATCCGACAAAATGAAATCCATTCCATATTCAACATAACAGAGAGTGATCAAGAAAACATTAAACAGAAAATCCATGAACCCATACCTCCAACAACATTATTAACAGATCGCAAAACATATACCTAAAACCCTTTAACAAAACACCGTAATATATCATTCAATGAATTTACAAGGGGAAGAGAGGGTTTGTACTTACAGGTTGGCAGAGCTCACAGATTATGACCAAATTGGATTTGACACAGCCTGGCCCAACTTTGAATTAGAGATGAAGTGAGAGAGCGAAATGTTATGTTGCGCGAAATCAGAAAATTTTAGGGTTCAGGGTTAGAAGTATAAAAATAAGAGCCAAATCTGAAAATTTTAGGTCCCGCGAATATTTTAAGAAAGCGCGCTTTTTAAAACATCGACCGAAAATACAAGCGTCGTTAAAATTGAACATTAAAGATGACGCTTATTACATTAAGGACGTCGTGGTAAAACTATGTACCACGCAAAATCAAAAAAGGCGTTAAAACTATGAAAAACCACGGCGGGGTTAAGTAACTAACGACGTTGTAAACAATAATAAACGACTAACAGGTAAACAAAACGTCGTTTAAAAAAGAAACCACGTCGGATTTTTCACCATACGACGTAAACTCAATATTCCACGACTCAATCACCGTCGTTAAAAGTAATACCCTAAACTTTAAAACCATAAATTATATATGTGTAAAATTTAATTTTATAAAATTGTTTATGGTTTTACATCCTAATAAATAACAAGCATAAACCCTAAACCCCAAAAATTATACTTTATCCATAAACCCTAATAAATAACAACCCTAAACCCCAAACCCTAAACCCTAAACCCTAAACCATCAAACTATATAAGTGATGCTATGACTCATAAAAACAATTTTATTTTGGTTGGTCATTTTAAACTTTCATTACACAAACTGCATTTTTTTGGGGTTTAGGGGGAAGAAAATATATCAATGACTTCATAGGAGTTGAAGTTGAATTTTTTGAATTTATTTTAAATTTATTTTTAAAATTTTGAATTAAAAATAATAAAATATTCTTATATCAACAACAAACCACGGCGGGGTTAAGTAACTAACGACGTTGTAAACAATAATAAACGACTAACAGGTAAACAAAACGTCGTTTAAAAAAGAAACCACGTCGTATTTTTCACCATACGACGTAAACTCAATATTCCACGACTCAATCACCGTCGTTAAAAGTAATACCCTAAACTTTAAAACCATAAATTATATATTTGTAAAATTTAATTTTATAAAATTGTTTATGGTTTTACATCCTAATAAATAACAAGCATAAACCCTAAACCCCAAAAATTATACTTTACCATAAACCCTAATAAATAACCACCCTAAACCCCAAACCCTAAAACCTAAACCCTAAACCATCAAACTATATAAGTGATGCTATGACTCATAAAAACAATTTTATTTTGGTTGGTCATTTTAAACTTTCATTACACAAACTGCATTTTTTTGGGGTTTAGGGGGAAGAAAATATATCAATGACTTCATAGGAGTTGAAGTTGAATTTTTTGAATTTATTTTAAATTTATTTTTAAAATTTTGAATTAAAAATAATAAAATATTCTTATATCAACAACAAACCACGGCGGGGTTAAGTAACTAACGACGTTGTAAACAATAATAAACGACTAACAGGTAAACAAAACGTCGTTTAAAAAAGAAACCACGTCGTATTTTTCACCATACGACGTAAACTCAATATTCCACGACTCAATCACCGTCGTTAAAAGTAATACCCTAAACTTTAAAACCATAAATTATATATGTGTAAAATATGAAAACCTCAGCAAATTGTTTTTTCTTTTATAATATGAAAACCTCAGCAAATTGTTTTTTCTTTTATAATATGAAAACCTCTGCAAATTTTCAGGGAAAAAAAGGATGTATATTATAGACAAAATTTGTACATTATATATTATAGACAAAATTAGTACATATAAAAATATCAAGTGTTCCAAAAATCCTCTAATCCATATGAAGGCAAACAAACTCTGCCCATTCTTTCCTGACTTCATCAATGGCTGCTTGGGGGTATGGCGCTTGATCTTTTCCCTTGGCAAACTGCAATCCATAAACAACGATTATTAAGCTTTACAAAATAAAAAGAAATTCAGTCACAGACGACGTTTTTTTTATAACCGACGTAGTCTATCGATTCAACGACGGTAATTTTAAATGACCGTCGTTGATAATACAAAAACCAAATAAAATGTTTCTGAAAATTTTTTTCTTACCTTCTTCTCAAACTCCAAGGAAGGATCCATGATGATGTCCCTCATGAAGCGCATGACATAATACCCGCATTCGACACTGCTGGGTTGCTTTGGTGTGCCTGGCAGAGTTTTCCAAATTGGTGCTTTACGGCCTGGTCTGCCTATGTGGGAATTATAAATTTTTAAAGCACTGTTCACGATGTTTTTGCCCTCCTCATCCACCACACGATTTCCAGGCAGAGGATCCAGAAAATAGACGGTTTCCCTCTTTGCCCTCACAATCAGCAAGACCCAATGACGGCTGCACAAAAATAAAATAAAAAACGACGGTTATTTATAAAAACCGACGTATTATATAGTTTCACACGACGTAAGAACTTAATCATCGACGTGATTATAAATTTATCACGACGAGAATTAACTACCGACGTGGTTAGTTGTTTCAAACGATGGTATAAATAAATAACCGACGTGGTTAGATGTTTCAAACGACACAGAATTAGTTAAACAGTTTTATAAGTGAAAATCATACAAACAAAATCCATTTAAGGAGACTAACCCTGGATTGTAAGGCATCATGAAAATCTGTTCACCATCTGTTTTCTGAAGTCGACTGGCTACAATTCGTGATCTGTCAGTTAGTGACCCAGCGTTGGCACTAACTTGAGCAGGGTCGATAAAGCCAACCATGCTGCACATATTTGCTTCTCTCAAAAGATCATATAAGCACCTAAATATATAAAACAAACGACGGTTATTTATACACAAACGACGTATTATACAATTTCACACGACGAACTGAAATAGAAACAGACGTGATAACTAATTTATCACGACGGTAAAAAAGAACGACGTGGTTAGTGATTTAAAACGACGCAATAATTAAACAACCGACGTCTTATGATATAATGTTTGATATTTGATTAGGACAAACCTCATATATACTGCAACCACAGTAGCCCCAATTTCTTCCATGCCTGCAAACTGTGTAATATCTTCATGCAAGACGAAGGTACTTCGATCTGCACCAAACACCTCCTTCTCAATGTTGAAAGGTCATGATCTTCCCCTGTGGCTTTAGTGTAGTTTCCACATAACCACAAAGGGATTGTAAGGAAGATGGCACCTCCACATTTGAATAATCAACTACTTCATCACCCTGTTTAAAGAAATAAAGCAAAATAAAATGTCGTGGTAATTCATTAAAAACGACGGTTTAAATTAAAAAACGTCGTCTGATTATAATTTAAACGACGGTAATTAAATACCGTCGTTTTAGATTATTTATTACGTCGTAGAAAATAAATTCCGACGTCTAATGTGAAAACAAACGACGGTTTAAAGAAAAATATCGACGTCTGAAATGTGAAAAACAAATTAAAAAGGCAAAGTTATGAGAATATACCTCCTCGTCATGCTTTTCTTCATCTTGTTTTTCTTCTTTCTTCTCTTCAACATTTGTGTCTTCCTCTTTGCCTTCATCTTTATTCTCTTTTTTTCTTCCTTCTTCCCTTCATCATTTTTTTTCTCCCATCTTCTGTTCATCTTTATTTTCTTCTTTCTTCTCTTCATCTTGATTATCTAAAGCCCCAGATTTCTGTTTTAAATAATAAAGAAATATATATATAAGACAGATTGTACAGAGAGTAAAAAAATTAAACCAAAACGTCGTGGTAAGGCATAACATAAGACGGTATGTAAGAATTATGGACGTCTTAAAATTATTAAACGATGGTAAATAATAAACGTCGTGGTAATTTTATATCACGTCGTTGAGGACAAAAACCGTCGTCTAAAAGCCACAAAGTACGACGTCTAATGGCGTGTAAAACAAGTAAACTAAATACGACGTGGTATTTAAATAAACACGACGGGTTATTTATAAAATCGTCGTGGTATGGTTTTAAAACGACGGGTTTATTCATAATAACGACGTCTAATGTTTAAAAAAAAACAGAGAATTCAAAGTTCAGTTATGTTACCGTTTGTTCCTGCTGTTCCCCATTTCTGGCAGTATCATCCTCTAAATGTAGGGATCTCACTTCAGCCCCAGAACAGCTTGCTTTATCAGACATTGGATTTTGGGACTTTGCTGTAGACCTTGGTTTTGACGGGGCTAGTTTTCGGTTTAAGCATGCTTGGATCAAAATTGGGGATGAGGTGGGAAAGCTGACTTAGTAAATGTTCCCTCTCAGCCTCTACTAATTGTTTGGTTCTAGCTTCCATCTTCTTAGTCTCTTCTTGAAGGACAATTCTTACACTTTCCTTCAATTGATCAGCAAACTTTACCCTTTGTGGTCTAGGTAAATTGAAGAATTGCCTAGGGGAAATCCCAGCACCTACCCCTCTTACTCTCCCTGGATGCTCGGGACCCAAAGCCAAGGTCAACACATCATTACTGCCAGTTATACTCAGACTGCCTTCAGCCACTTGTTTTTGCAATTCATCCTAAAACAAAGACATAAAAAAAAGTCAGCACAAGAAAATACACGACGGTTATTTATAAACAAACGACGCATTATATAATTTCACACGACGCACCAATATAGAAATCGACGTTATAATATATTTATAACGACGTTAATTAAAACCGACGTGGTTAGTTGTTTAAAACGACGCAATAAATAAACCACCGACGTCTTATGCTGTAATTACAGAAAACAGAGTTGTGATTCCAGATTTAGATCTTTCACGACGTTTTTGAAAACATTTCGACGTAGTAATAACATTAACACGACGGAAAAAATTAACCACCGACGTCTTATGCTATAATTACAGAAAACAGAGTTGTGATTCCAGATTTAGATCTTTCACGACGTTTTTTAAAATATTTCGACGTAGTAAAATCATTCACACGACGGAAAAATATAACATAAGACGTAATAAGAATTATACACAGTTTAATAAAAATTTAAAACAGAGTGTGTAGGCTTACAATTAATTTTGCTTTCTCTGCCACCTTTGGATCCGGGATGTTACCATGTTTGTCCTGTCTAGCTTTCTTCCATAAGGTAGATCGATCAATTTCTACCCCAGGCATGGTTTCCTCCAATTGATCCTCCAAACCAGCATATCCTTTTCGAGACAATCGATGATTGTACTCAAGTTTCTCCCTAATCTGTGCATGTTGAGAATGCACAGACTCAAAGTCTTTGGATAACCTTGAAGCTACAAAGGCATCCCATTCTGCTTTCTCTATGAATTTATATACTTCAGGGGGTTGGCTTAATTTCTCCCTCTCCTTGATGTATGGAAGGATATAATGCCTCGTCAGTGTAGACTTGAAATCCTTCCATTTCTTGGCAGCAGAAGATAACACCGAGGTCTTGCCCCCTTGACCTACCACAAAAGCCATGTCAACGGCTTCCCAAATCTGCTCCTTTATATCATTGGGGATGTCAGCCCATTTCTTGTCCACAAGTGGGACTCTGGAGCGTGCCAACACACCAATGTAGGACTGCATCTCAGTATGTGCAGGGCCACATCCTTTCCCCCTTTTATTGTACTCAACAACTGGCTTGATTTTCTGCAATTTTCTCTTCACAACACGAGGCATTGTGCTCATACCTCGACCTGACTTTGAATCCTCAGAAATTGTTGTCGTGCTGCTTGGTTCTTTCTCAGCAGATGAAACAAACTTCATCTTCTTCAAGGGCTTGTCTTGAGGAGTTACCATTCCAAGCTCCTTACCTCCATTTTTTTGGAGCCAGAGTACTTACTTTGGTCTTGAGAAACCATGGTTACAGAATAAACAAACCTGCAAGTGAAAATATTTCGTGAAAAAAATTAGAACACAAACGACGGTTATTTATAAACTACGACGTATGATAAGATTTTACACGACGTAATAACATAACATCAGACGTAATAAATGATTAAAGAAGAACAATATAAATGTTTAAACAACGACGAAACAATATTAAATAAGACGTAATAAGAACTTATTACGGCGATATTTACACGACGTCGTGATATTCATATTAACACGACGTAAATATTAATATAACGTCGTGTTATGGATATTCACACGACGTGAATAATAAGCTACCGTCGTATTTATAAGAAACCAAAAACATTTTTCTTTCTTTGTGAATGTTTGATTGCAGGTTTCATTTCTCTGAAACATGGTTTTTGTTTTTCCTAATTTGATAAAATACAAAGAAAAAAAGCTTTGGCATCTTTTTATAGACGACGGTATCTTAGTATAACGTCGTGGTATGAACATTCACACGGCGTCAATAATAAGATACCGTCGTCTATATAAGATACCAAACCCTACTTTCTTTGTCTCTGTATTTTATCAAATTAGGAAAAACGAAAACCATGGTTCAGAGAAATCAAACCTGCAACTAAACAAGCAAATAAAAAATTGACCGTCATTTTAAAAACAACTTAGATCAATTTTAAGACGACGCTAGGACGACTGACGAACCGTCGTGGTCTACATATTTAACCACGTAAATAAAAAGCTACCGTCGTCTTATTTAGTTGAATTAGTTGTGTTCAAAGTTGAAACTTTCCCTCTCTGTCTGTGTATTTTATCAAACTTGGAAAGAATAAAAATGATTTTCGCCAGAAAAAAGGTAAAAAGATTTTCAAAACAAAAACAGTATGAGCATGCAAAATAGCAACAAAAATAGTGAGAAATGAAAGCTTACCTTTTGCGTGCAATGAAAGCTTTCTCTCGGATTTTGGTGTTTAAGTTCAGAGGCGACGACGAAGACAAGAGGAAGACGATGAGATACTCTGACAGTGCTCTGACAAGGAAAAAAGACGAAAAGTTTTCTCTGGGAGATTGAAATGTTTTCTCGGGTTTGGAAACAGTGCATGTGTAAGTCAGGTAGACGAAAAGTTGTATATGTATACAAACCGTTTCATAGTAATAAGACGGCGGTTTACATAGAACGACGACGTATTAATAGACAAACTACGACGCTAATTTGAACTTATGACGTGGTACATAAATACGACAGTAGTGTTGTAGGTACCGCCGTAGTAAACTCCTAAATAAAAGTCGATAACTCAATATCTCGCGTCATGGTAGAAATATTTAACACGACGGTTGTTTTAAATTTACGACGTTTATTTTTATAATATACGTCGTTTTATTGTAATATACCGACGTGGATAACACTAAACTAAAACGACGTATTATTTTTTCCACGACGTGGATTCGTTTTTAAACGTCGTTATGTGTAATATAACCGACGTGGATTTTATTTTTTTATTATAAATATAATTTTTTCCCCTTTTTCTTATAGTTTATTTTTCAAAAACAGTGCCTTATAGATATAGTTTTTTTTCCCGAGGAAATTAATGTTCTAGAATTTGTAAAGTTTCTTTTCTAGGTGACTGATTTAAATCAAATAAAAATATAAAACAACGACTGTTTTTGTTATACCGTCGTCGTTTCTTGTCGTCTTAAGTAAGAATAAAACGACGTAATGTATTTGTTACCGACGAGGATTGTTTTTTGTTAAACGTCGTTATGTGTAATATAACCGACGTGGATTTGGTTTTTTAATTATAAATAGGGTTTTTTTCCACGGGTTCTTTCAGTTTTAGTATTCGATTAGGGTTTCAACTTCTTCTTGCCCCTTTCTCTGTCTCACCTCATCTCTTGGGAGGCAATTGTTTGAATGTTGGTTATCTGTGGCTGATTGCAAATCACCAATTTTCAATAAATTGTCTCTCTGATTGCAAATCTGTGGCTGCCGTCGTGAAGTTTTAGGAGGCAATTGTTTGGATGTGAATGTGTGTGTGCGTTTGTGTAGATACACAAACGCACACACATCATTCACTTCCAAAAAATTGTCTCTCTGATTGCAAATCTGTGGCTGCCGTCGTGAAATTTTAGGAGGCAATTGTTTGGATGTTGATGTGTGCGTGCGTTTGTGTAGATACACAAACGCACACATATCATCAACTTCCAAAAAATTGTCTCTCTGATTGCAAATCTGAGGCTGCCGTCGTCAAATTTCAGAAGCAATTTTTTGGATGTTAATGTGTATGTGCGTTTGTGTATCTCAAAGACACAAATACACATACATCATTAACCTCTAAAATATTGTCTTTCTGGTAAGATTATGATGAGCAACAGAGTTCCATCTTGTAAGATTTCCTAACCCTTGTGATCTCAGAATAATCTGATTATGTCGGCGGTTTTCTATATAAACCGTCGTGGTTATTTCAATTCTTGTCGTTAGGTAGATCTACCGACGTAGGATAACAAAATCGAAGAAATAAATTGTTAAAAAAAATTCTTATTCAGACGACGGTTTAAATATAATTTATGACGTATAAAGTGGACAAATACGACGTTAAATTCTATAATACGTCGTTATATGAAAACCCCAACTTGGTAAGATTGAAAGATGTCGTCGTAGAAATACGAGAAAGACGTCGTTATATTTACCTTTGCCGTAGTTGTACATTAATTTAATACGGCGGTATTTTGTATTTTACCGCCGTGGATTTATTTGTAATTATACGTCGCCTTATACGAAAACTTGGTCGTGTTAATTTCTGGGTAAAAACGACGGCTTTTTTTGAAACCGTCGTCTTTACTTTCTACGTCGGTCGGTTCATAACTTCCGCCGTTATTTGTTGGCTATGATTTTACCTCTTGAAAATCCTATTTCAATAAGACGTCGGTTTTTTAATTAAGTACGTCGTGTTTTTGGAACAGCCATTTGAAACTCCATTTTTTAGTTGTCTAATGTGTTATTACACGGCGGTTTTATAAAACCGTCGTCTTTTAAAAAACAACGACGGTTTTCACGTAGACCGTCGTGTTTTTGTGGTCGTCTTTTTCACTTTTTGTAGTAGTTTTTTTTTTTTTTTTTTTTTTTTTTTTTTTTTTTTTTTTTTTTTTTTTTTTTTTTTTTTTTTTTTTTTTTTTTTTTTTTTTTTTTTTTTTTTTTTTTTTTTTTTTTTTTTTTTTTTTTTTTTTTTTTTTTTTTTTTTTTTTTTTTTTTTTTTTTTTTTTTTTTTTTTTTTTTTTTTTTTTTTTTTTTTTTTTTTTTTTTTTTTTTTTTTTTTTTTTTTTTTTTTTTTTTTTTTTTTTTTTTTTTTTTTTTTTTTTTTTTTTTTTTTTTTTTTTTTTTTTTTTTTTTTTTTTTTTTTTTTTTTTTTTTTTTTTTTTTTTTTTTTTTTTTTTTTTTTTTTTTTTTTTTTTTTTTTTTTTTTTTTTTTTTTTTTTTTTTTTTTTTTTTTTTTCCCCATTACTGTGAGATGCCCAAAGACTCCCATGTTTTTCTTGGTTGGACCAACCAGATTTCCTACAAGTCTTTCTGTTAGAACAGGAAGCGGAACTACAAGTGAATCTTAATCCATAATGAGCGATGCCACATTAGCGTTTCTCCTGTCTTTATTTAATAACCCAAATACGACAGCCACTTTTCATCGGGGTTTTGGCGGCGTGGCGGGTGTCGCGTCTGCGCAACATGACACCCGATAACTACCAAGACCGAGTCGTACAATCTGTTAGTGATACACTCAAAGAGCAGATCGCTGATCGCCAGCTAGCACCGTTATTCGAGAATACTAACATTGAACTGCCGCCCGGAAAACACGTGTATGATGTAATCGAATCTCTTGTTGACGGAAATAATAATATCGAATTACTCTCACAAATTTATGCCAGCCTAGACACTTTTGGCATGTATAGCGAATTTGACCTTCGTGCCGTGGAAATTGTCAATAGCGGTTTATTCTAGGTAAAAATGCTTCGGAAATACAGACTTGCGTTATCGACCCACTCCTTCTATTATATAAGAGGGCCACCCTGTGGGTGGGCCTTCATGAGTTTTAGCGACGGAATAGCAGTGCTTCAATCGAGAAGAGAGGCCGTGGTCGAGAAGCACGGACCAAGGCTTTCGGCCATGGGAGGGGGGGAAAGGGAGGTGGGCCCCCCCACAAGATATTTTATTTATCCCGCTGGGGAAAAATAAAAAGAAAAATAAAAAAATATTCCTTTCGAAATGAGGATGTTGAAGATTTCTTCACATCTTTATTAGAGCAAGGGTTGATCGAGCTTCCCGAACCTAAGAGACCAGATGAGGTGGGACGAGTAGGAGATCCCAAATACTGCTAATTCCATCGGGTTATTAGTCATCCGATAGAAGATTGTTGGGTTCTTAAAAATCAGATCCAAAAGTTCTTAAATGATGGTGTCATTGAAATAGACCCTCCTAAGCAACCTGTGGTCACCTCAAATCCGGTATTTGTAATAGTTGGAGATATTCTTTGCCCGATAGCGGAGATCTCGCCAAGCATAGCCTATTCTAGTTCTTGCACCGGAAGAGCAATTCCAGAGGAAGATAAAATCTCAAAATATGATGAAATGGATCTCGTGCCTTTTCTTGAACTTTCCCGCTGGATTTTGGCGTGCAAGTGTTCTTGCTAATCCTGAAAACTAACGAAGTCTTTCTAGGAATACATTCTAGCGGGACTGATCACTGACACCCGGTTGGAGCGGGATCAGAACATGTTGAGCACGAAGGTGCGAAGTAGACTTTATTATTCTTCTTTCTCTTATGGATTTGCTTTTTTTCTCGACTGGAAGAGCTGCCGGAACTTCCCTCCCAAGGCGACTCTTTGTAGAATCCTTTTATAAAGGGATCCGAAGCCCGGGTGAGCCTAGACGAAATAATGGCTCTTGTAGAAGCGCGTAAGGGAAAAAGGGCTCCCTTGGTGAAAGGAAGGAAGGGAAGGGCTGTTCTGACGAGTCCTCGGCAAGAACTTATGGAGATGGAGCCCGCGGTTTAAGAATTCCTAAAGAAAGGCCCCTTGCGCCATCCAGCTCTCCCAACTACAAAGAGAAGACAGCCTAGCGCTACTGCTACTAGGCAAGAAGAGCTAACAGCTAATACATTCTTATCTCTCCTAGTGATCTACGACAACCCCCAGAGCTGGAATGAAAACCTTTCTTGGGGGATCGGATCCACCAAAGCCCATTCGCCTAGCAAGAGGAAGAGCAAGACCGGAGAGAGAGAATTAGTTAGAATCTATCCTAGCGTGCTCTAAACCTACAGTCAACTAGCTACTTGCCTCAGGGGTAGCTTGTCTCCTGAAAGAAGCATGCCCCATACCTACTACCAAAGGAATTCTTAAACGTCCCTCCATTCCAGACGAGAGAGCTCAAGTCTGATTGGCCTGATCCACCATCTCGAAATGGAGACTATGAGAAAGTAACCCACCTTATCCAGCTAGCAGGGGATAGGAGGGATCCCCATTTTTTTAAATACAGAAATGGGGAGACTCGGAAAGCAGCCTGCCTTAGTGATTGAGCTCCAAGAACAGGAAAAGTCTCTGGTTATCATCCCGACCAGTTCGTCGATTGAATGAATTGATTGGCTAGTGTCACACAGGTCGATCAATACAGAATTTTTCACAAGAGACAGGGTAGACGAAGCTTTCTGTCTCATATGTATGATGTTTCGGTACATTCTTCCTGGGCCGGGTTTACTTGTTTATATGTCTACTCTCTTATGACTTTTTTTTTCGTTTGATGCTTGAAACGAAAGATTTGGAGAAAGGGAAGTGGCAAGATAATAGATATTGAGTCCATCCTGAGATGACCCTTTCTTCCCCTACCTTTGATGTACTTGACTTCGAGAAGCCTTGGCTTGTGTACAGGTTGGAGGAAGAATAACAGCAGCAGAGCAAAAGAAGACCTAACCTCGGTCGGAGATAGCAGCTCATGAACTGCCCTGCTCGAAGGGTCGTAGCCCGAACTGACCTAGCTGCAGAGGAGAGGTTTGACTTCCGAGAGCTGATCCTAGCTTGGACTGATCTTTGACCCTAGCTCCAGGCGAAAGGATACGTAGGTTTTTCTTCCTTCTTCTAAATGGAGATCCTCCTCACCGGAAAGTTCCCCTATTGGGCTGGAACTGGAAGGCGCCTTAAGGCAACTTACAACAGTAGAAGTCAGAACAATCAGACTCACCTACATCCGCAGCTAGGAATCGCGCAACTGAGAAAGAAGCATGACCGGTTGAGCTCGAAGAACAAGAAACGGAAGCACGCTTTGGAACAATCACAAAAGGGGGATTCCCGGGGTATTTCTAAGGACGGACCGCATACCAACCATTCCTTTTTGGAATGGAAAGAAGAAAGGATGGTCGTAGATCACTGATGTCGAATTCCACGAAAAAAATCATATGAAAGAATCGTCAGATTATGGGTTCCCGGAGTAGACGGTTTTGAATGGAGAATGAATGAAATAGAATTGTCTGGCAGAATCGTATGATAGGGAAAGTGCAGACCCTCCCACTTGTCGGGGTTACCGGGCTGGCTAACCTAACTATGAATTTATATCAATTCGGGATAGACAGAGGTCTAGGATAGTACGCTGTCGGAGTGAGACCGGGGTACAGTAACGAAGTTAGACCGAAATGAACGACTCAATTCCTCTAGAAGAAAGGAGAGAGAAAGAACAACCAATTCTATGAAATAATATCTTATTTACTAGGATCGGTTGCTACTAGTCCGGGTTACCTCAAAGATAGAGCCATTAGGGGAGAAAAAACAACCTAGTTAGTGCACTAACTCAAACCCAGTTCTTGCACGAAATGTCCTGCTAACATAGGTGGGCTAAAGCCCTCCTAAGAAATGGAAGAGGAAACTTCTTTCTTTGGGGTCAAAGGGCTATTCTATTACAAAATAAGTTATGGACTTGGATATGACCTTCTAATGAGAGTTCCTTGGGGATATATGAATTAGTGGACATATACAAGAACGACCCATTTTCTTACACAAGCATTTCTGTACTCAGATCGGTAGGTATGGAGGTCTTTCCCAACCTCTTTAGTTAGACAATCTGTTATATACGATTCAACGGACATTCAACAAGATAACCCCGAAACGAGGCAACCCCGTTCACTCCGACAAGAAGGGTGTCAAGTCTGAAAGCCAAGCCCGGGCAAGAAGAGTGAACCGATACTCTTTTTATTGATATTTCCCTCCTTAGCACAAGCGCTAAGCGATAATAATTCCTTCATTCAAGTGTTAATTCAAGTAAGGACAAGTCTTTATCATCCCGATCGGGATAGACGGGCCTGCCCCGCTGCGGGTCAGCACCTCGGGCTCTCTTTCTGCTTTCTGTCTGTCTACAAGCGGAAGGCGTTAATGAAAATGTTAAAGTAAAATAGCCATCAAATGCGAATTGATGTTGAGATGGAGTCCTTGCAGAGGTACTTCTATTATCAGATGAGGCAGAACCAGAACCTGGGGATCAACCAAGGACTGACTGCGGGAGCAAGGATTGGATTGGAGACTGCATGACTTGATCCCTCTTCTTCCACTGAGTGCTGGGGGGATAGAAAGCGGGTTGTCGGCAAGCGTGACGAGAGGGCAGAGTTCCTTTGTGAAATGGCAGACAGACACTTGTCTACGAAATCGGGTCCGACAAACAACGGGTAAATGGAGAGGTTTGACCTCAATGGAGGGATAGAAGGTCTTGCTACACTGCTTCAGGCTTGCTTCGGGTTTAGCCGCAGAGTGAGCGGGGACTTTGCCTTCTTCGTAAGCGTCTGAGACGGATCCGGGCTAGCCCGGGTGCCCTCTAAATCATTAATTGGAAGTTGTTCAAGAGGTTCGACATCTATGGGCGCTCAAAACGGACTATGTTGCCAGAAAACAGACTCTCTTTAGAACATAGTTTGGTAAGAGAGTATGGTGCACTGCTATGATAGAAAGTGGGGATGGGACAGATGACCCCACGGGGGACATCCTAACACCCTAGAATCTTATTAGGAAAGAAGTGAAGTTAGCTTGGATGACGGATCATTTCAGTTAGCGAACACAAGCTGGAGAGTCACACGGGGTTCAGTTTGAGGATATGAAGCTGCCCCCTCTCTTGAGATTGGAAGTTCGGATGTTTCTTATGAATCATAGCTTAATATTTCTTTCAGAACCTTGGGTATAGAGAAAAAGGAGTACATGCAACAAGTCCCGCGGTTGCTTGGCTCTGATCATAGCCCTTGCTCGGTCACTCCCTTGGTGCAGCTCCCCGGCGGAGTACTCCTATATCGCGGATCGACTTCAGGGTCTTACCCTCTTTTTCTTTTCCACTTTTGGCTTCGGTGGAGGGACGGCTATTCAAGGATTCGAAGCTTTATCCGGTTCTACCCGAAGGCTGATTCCGTTGAGTCAACATCCTCGGTACCCTTGAGTGAATGACCTAACCAACGGGCAGATGGATAGGAGGGTTGCATGAATGCCCCTCGATGCATTCCGGAATCCGTTACTGGCCCCCGAGACCTCTCGCCTCAGCATCCCATCCCTCCCGAGGCCCACACGCGCGGGCCCCTGGAACCTTATTAGATTCTAGTCTTCCATCCACCCCGGGCAATGACTGTTCCCATGATGCACATTTCTTAAAGAGGAAAGGAAGATCACTCAATGAAAGGAAAGATCCATCCGACACCAGAGAGGGTGCACAGAGGAGAGGTTAATGGTTGAAGGCTGGGCCAATAAAGAAATGAAAAGGTGGGCAAGGAAGGCTCAACTAGCTAGATGGGCCGCCGCTCATGAGTAGTGATCCGATGTTTGATCTTGTCAATGGGTTGATGGCAAACTTCTCTTTTATCCCACTCGGAAGAAGGTGAATGTTGACTGCTTTATCTTAGGGGTTATCCACCCTTCTTATTCTCACCCTACCCGTAGTGAATTTTGGTTGGTATGAGCATGAAAACTCCGATTCAAGGTTGTCCTTACCATACCGGAAAGCTAGAGGGATGGAGACCCATCAATGAAACAAGTAAGGCTAGTAGATTTCCAAGATTTTAGTAGCTCCGGTAAGGTTCCCGGGATTGGAGTGGCCCGGGTCGGGGCTGGACGGAGGATATCCAGATTATGATCCCTATGGGGCTTGTATCGAATCTATATCTCCGACTGACTTCAGTGTCTGAGGATGGCGCTAGTATTCGCTAAGGAAGTCTGATGGTGCTATCTAATCGTCTCTAGTTTATGGACCTATCATGCGGATTGGTCTTTACACTTGCAATGGTATCAAGATAAGGTGATTCGTATGCCACCATGATCTCCTTTAAGAGTTTAGTACCGGATTCTAACCTAGCATTCGTCCCCGTTGCGTATGTTGAGCTAGTAACCCGAGCTAGGACGGCGTAGTTGAAAGAGATTGATTGGTACTACGGGTGAATCAAATATGGGTGACAGGTTGAACCATTGGTGGGCAGGGGTGTGATGAAAGCCCGGGCCAATCAATCGGGTTAAGGCTCAGCGAATCGCCCGTATGAAAAAGAAGGCTCGCCTCTAGCACTAGCCCTTATCTTATACACTAGTCTATTCTTCACTGGCTAAGCAAGGTAAGCGCAGCTGGCCCCAATAAAAAAAGCAGTATTCAATTATTCCCCCGGTGTTATTGCTTATATACGTAACGTAATAACACGTGAGAATTTGATCAAAGATCAGGATTATTCAGGTCTTCTTTGGCCACTCCTTTTATGGGTATAGGAAGCCTCCCCTTAGAGCAAGTTTTCACATGTCGTTCCCCTTTCCACAGTCCTTTCTTTCCGTTCGATCCTTTCATTTAAACCTTTGTTTGACTCATATTTCCTCCTATTCTGATTTCGGCAGTAAACTAAATAGAAGGCGCGGATTAACTATTTAAAGGACTTATTAAAATTTATTAAAATAAAGGCTGGGCTTTCCGTATAAAAAAGGCTATTGGCCCTTAGCGTTTCACACTAAGCAAGTAAACTACCTTTATCGACGTTTCATTTTGAAAGAAAAAGTTTCTAAAGCGCTATTTCAGTTGTTAATAGCCCTTTTTTCCATCCAAAAGCTTAATACTCCCATCCATTGAAAGCTTTTAAGCTTAAATCAAGCAATAGGTCTTCTCCTCTTTCTTTTGTAAGGATGGATGGTGACGGAACGGAATTCAATCTAAAGGGAAGGGATCTATTCAGGAGAAATATATTATATACTATTAATTAAAAACTTCACGTTATTGCAGGGTGGGTTCCGAAACATCATTCTAATCGGCGGGGCAACCACATCAAAGGGCCAGGTTTTTAGTAGTTCAGGGTTGCGCCCAGTATAGAACTTTTATCTGACTAGGAGCAGCTAAGCCCCTACCTATATAGTCTATTTCACCCACCCGGAGAACGAGAGAGGGGGGAGGCCCACTTCTTCCTGCTGTTCTTCCAGCAGAAAGGGTGGGAATGGTCTTGCCGCAGCCACGTGAAATCATCTTAATGCACGGGTGGCGTGCTATAATAGCCTCACAAGGGGTTCATCTTTCTATTAGTAAGCCAGCTGAGCTTATCCGTTGAGATGGAGTAAGCATCACACAGCAGCCTAACCTAAGAAATGGCAGGCAGTTCTTTCACTTCCTATTGCAGAGGAAGGAGAAAGGGCAAGCGAAGCGGCATACTCTACCTACTTTCTGGCTCGCCCTTCCGGTTTTAAGTAAAGGCGCTCCTTCCGGCATAAATAGATGGATAAGGAGAAAGACATGAATAAACGGAGGATAAAGTGGTTAGTTAAGTAAGGTTTTCGGAGTATGAAGGTTAGTTAAGGCCTTCACCATATGTATTTCCCAAAGGGAAAGGGGAAGACCCTAATTCTGCAGTCAATTATATGGCAAAGGTAGCTCTTTGCTTTATTTCAGCAACCTTGATTGAAGCTGTAGGTTTAGGCCGAGCTATCAGAGCAGCAAGTGGTAGGCTGTAAGCCGAATGAGAGAGCTATCCAGTTTTCAGGTAAGAAGAAGGGGAGTAAGCAGCACAGACAAGAATCCCGATGTTAAGTAGTCCGATAGCCAAGCGGAATAGTCGTAGTAGTCAGATAGTCAGGTAGTCGGGCAAACAAGCAAGCCGGTAAGCCAGAAGTGCAGGCCCAAGACAAGCAAGAACAGGCAGTCAGCACCGATCAGGCAGGAAGCAGACAGTAAGCTAAGAATACTGGTGTCAGGTGGTAGTTCAGCCAAAGCCGTAGTTCAACCAGAACAGTAGGGCAAGCAATGTGGGCAGGAAAGAGCATACATAGGCAAGAATCCCAAGTTTGCATTAACCAACAAGCAAGAAGCAAGCAAAGTACGGCAGGAAAGAGATAGGCCAGAGAATCCCGCTTTGAAGCTATAAGTGAGCTGCCCTTTCGCCTGAGGCTTTCGGACAAGACTAGTTGCTCCAGTTGGTTAGTAACCTCCCCCTTCCGCTCGTGGCGCTTCTCTGAGGTCCTGCGTGTGAGGTTGCAGAGCGCGCTAGGCGTGCTTTGGCTTGTTGCGTAGCTGAATGGGACTGGTGTAGTGCGGGCTTGAGCTTCGGTTCGCCCGTACGTTTCATAGGGCCCCTAAGGTTAAGCTTTGTTTTATGTGGTTCCGACTGTAAACCCCTTTCTTTTTCCTTCTGCCTGAGTATCGTTAATAGGCCATAATACAACTCAAACCAAGTAAGAAGGGCAGTCCGCCTCGTAGATCGATTTCGGAGTCGTAAGTTAATGTTTCCTTCTCGGCCGTTGATGAAGGGGACCCTTCGGCAAGCCTGGCGGTTGCTGCCTTGAGCCGATATCTTCCCAGTCCAAGCATTAGAGAAAGTGTGGGGATAAGGCCGACCTCGTTCCGCTACATTCATGAGATTCTGCGGTTTAGGGAGTTCGCTGCTCGTGATTGACCGGATAGGATCTGTCCCTAAATTCCTCACGCTAGTTTACGATTACATGGGTCAACTTAACAACAAAACCCATAGAGGAAGAAGAATGGCTTCCAATAGCCGTTACGATCAATCCAAAAAAAGGAAAATTAGGATGCCTAATCCAGACCCATTTGCCTATGAAAGATCAAACGTGAAGATCCAGAGGTACCGAAGTTGTTGTTGTTGTTAGGCTAGAATCTACTGGTTCCGGTGCATTATGGCTCAATGTGAGCTTAACAATCCCTTATTGCTTAAAATCATACAGAGCAAAACAAGATGCTAAGGGAGCCATCTCGGGTTTTTAGTTCCTGTGGAGGATGTATGGATCGAGACACGCAGCTTCGACAAGTCTTTCTACCGGATACTACTGGGAGAGGTCCAGCTCGCTTGTTTGCCACGAATATAATTCCTTTTAACTCATTTTTTTTTATGCGGATCTACGGCAGTGCAGTTCTACTTGAGCTTAACGATCACCAAAGGTCAGGTGAAATAGGAACGGAGTAACGCGAACTCCGAGAGAGGAACGGTTCCCCATATCATTTGAGATTCTCTGCTCGGGATTGATGGGTCCATTAAAGCCTAATTCCAGAAAGACTTCGTTAGTTTTCAGATTGCGAGAGTCACGCTACGCATCAAGGACTCATAGGAAATTGGACAAATATCAAATAGGAAAGACAGCGGTGCTGCAGATTCCCCTAAAAAAAGTAAGATAAAATCATATAAAATCGTGTTTGTCCATGCCCTAGTCGTTATTGAGGTGCTTAAACAAGTAAATGAATAGACTCCACCGATGCCTTCCGAACGGCGAGAACCAGTTCGCGCGTATCGGTATCGGTCTCGATTACAAAAGATTTTAGATGTTATGGCCGTAGATCAAGACGGTTTTTTTTAAGTAAATAGCTTGCTTAAGTCAAGCTACAGTACAAGGACTCATGAGAAAGCGGAAGTACGACTGCGATGCCGGCCCGGATACATAGAATGCAATCCGGTTCTTAGAATAAGGAT